GTTCTCTTAATGAGTAATGGGTGTTTTTTGGGCGTAACGTGCAATAAACCAATCAGAGTCTCATCTCCCATCCCCTTTAAAAGCCAGTTGCGCTCACGCCATGGCAGGTTCGCTATTTACATGGCGGAATGTAATTTTTCATTTTTAAAAATGTTTGTGTGATGCTGTTACCCTGTGTGTGTAATAAGCAAAGTGTACACACGTTGTGTGTCTTTAAATAACAAAGAAAAAATATTGCGCCAGATTTTAGACCAGGTTTTTGTTGGTCAACGGCGCAGTCTATTTTCAGTTCCTCAAAATAGCAACGCGCCAACAATGAGTCTGAACACACCTCTTTTTTAGACCAGCACGCCCATGGGCGCACAAATGGGCGCAAATGCATTTGCTATTTAAACAACGCGGCGCAGGACGGGAAAATGAGAACTTATTAAAGTGGAAGAGACTCTGTCACGTCACATTGAAAAGTGTCAAAATGGCATTCATTGTTTGAATTTCGTGATAGTATGTACAGGATTTGAAAGCTGAGACTTTGTTTCTATCAGAAGTAAGAAAGCACAAAGCTCTTTGTGATTATTGGATGGGAGGCTCGCTACAATTAATGTTTGCGGATCTGGCAACCCTGGCTTGAACTACGGGTGATTCATAGGGTCAAACAGAGCCTGCTTTAATGTCGCTGTTTGTATCTGTTAATGCGCTATTGTCACGTTAATTTTGACAGCCCTAAATTCAACAGAGAGATTTTCTTCACACACATTATGAGTTGCAGTCTGACACGTTTTATATATAATCGGCCCTGATCATCAGCTGATTTTGAACAATTTGGCCGACAATTAAATAAATTGCTTTTATCGGCCAATACCGATTATTGGAAGATACATCAGTGCATCTCTAATGTTAATCATTGCAAAATATGCAAGAGGCTTAAGTGCCTATCCATGTTATAAACGTGTGTTTTTAAAAGGGGCCATATTGTACAATTTTGGTATCTCTTAAGTCCACTTAAAATGTTACTCAAGGTTTCTTCCACAAAGATGGAAGAACTTAAAAAAAAAATTTAAAAAATACATTATTTTGTGTAGAAAGTCAGTCATGCAGGTTTGGAATGACATGCGGGGGATTAAACGATGATTTTCAATTTTGGGTGAAGACTAAAGGCCCGTTCACACCAAGGACGATAACTATAAAGATAACGATAAAGATATAGTTCTAAAAATCTTTCTCAATATTAAAGAATAGCAGAGTCCACACCACAACTATAACGATAAAGACAAAGAGAAACGATATCGTTGGAATCACTTTCAAAACGATTTTTCTCCAGCTGATGAACGATAAAAAATTGACAGCCAATCAGAATCCATCCTGCTGTAACAAGCTCGAGAATTTAAAGTGGCAGACGAGCGTGCGCTTAGAATAAACAGACGATATCATTCGCTGGTGTGGACGCTAATATCGTTATCTTTATAGTTATCTTTATAGTTATCGTTCTTGGTGTGAACGGGGCTTAAGACTTCTATATGTAAATGGAATATATATAGTAAAAAATGTATGATGAAAACATTTTTATTTAAACATTAAGACTGTTATTCGATTAAAATTAAGTCAAATTAATTACATGATGTTCTGATTAATTCATTGCATTTATCAATACTTGCTAAGAAAAGCCTGCAATGAGGATAATTACTTGATAAATACATTATTTATAGGGTTGGGTATCAAGAACCGATTGCAAATTTCCAAGAACCGTGTATTCGATAAGACACGTGCATTAACGATTCCTGCGTTCGCATTTTAATGTGATTTTAAACGATTTAAGTGCAGGAAGGGAAAGAAGTTGCAGCGCACACATCTGAAACGCGAGCACAGAGAACAGCTGTCCCAGTGCAGGTTCCCAGGGCTGACTTCTCTTTCATATTTACCGTATGTCAGTATTTCATCATAAACACAGCCGTTTTTTGTCGTAAGTGAACGACACTTTTTTGTTAAAACCATAGGCAAAGTTCCTCTTGTAGGCCTAAGTGTTCTGTAGGCTGCTGCTTTTTGCTCATGTTATTCAGCTGCAACAGAACGCTTTGTAAAAAGACAGTGTAAATATGTTTGACAACTAATTTGGTTTTCATGATATGGCCCCTTTAAGACACACTTCAAACTGACGCACAACACAAACACACTCCTTCTTACCCCTTTAAAGCTGGTGAGGTGCTGCTGTGGTTCAGTGTGTTCTCTCTCACACTGCTCACACACAATCACTGAAGAATGACTTGAGCAAACAGACACAGCGCTTGTGCATTCAGACACAACACTCAGCATGGACTTCACAGACAGGAAGAGACAGAGAGAAGAGAAAGGGCGACAGTCACAGATGAGTGCGCTTATCAAGATTCAGTGCATTTTGATGTAATTAACACTGATGGGAGTCTAAGGAAGTTAAAACCATAAAAACATAAAAAAAAGGCCAAGAAAAGGGTTGAGAAGGGTGGTGGACAGATAACAGGGAATGTGAAGTGAACTTCAGTCTTTCTTGATGACAACAGCAAAACTCAAACTATTTCATCAGAGGAGTCTATTTATTAATAATTATTTAATGTCATTCAAAACCGGTATGATTTTATTTTCTCCATGGAACACAAATGGAGAAATTCTGAAGAATGTTCACTCTGCTCATTTCCATACAGTGAAAGTGAATGAAGAACAGTGACTGGTGGTTGGTTGAGCTCCAAAAATAGCAAAAAAAAAAGAACCATACAAGTATCATAAAAACTTCAACTCATATTCAAGTCTTCTGAAGCCTTAAGATAACGTTTTGAGAAACTGATCAAAATGTAAATAATTATTCATGTTACTATGAAAATCCTCCCCTCTGCCACAACTCTAAAATCTCCGTCATGCATGCATACATTCAAAGTCAACACATTATGATCAGTTACGAGACATATGAGACCAGTCGTGACTGGTTTCACTGAGTGTTTGGTATCATGTTGTGCCAAGTCTGAATATGCGAAAGTATGAATGAAGGTTTGTGAGCAATGGAAGAGGGGACACAAATCCTTTGTATGACTTCAGTCATATGGACTTTAAGATACTTTATGTTGCCATTTTGTCCTTTTTAGAGCCACAATCCCAATTCACTTTCACGATATGCAAAACAGCAGCATGAACACTGTGTGACGCTTCATATGGTTCTGTGAAGTTTTACAGCATGCGGATGAGCAAATTAATGCTCATTTCTGGATGAACTAAACCATCAAAAGTAAGATCTGAAAGAATGTTTCTGAAAGCAACATTTAGCGAACTGAAACTGTACAACTGTAAACCAAAACAAAGATTAACAAAACTGCAGTGACAATGGAAGCTCTTTGGGAACAGGTACACCTTATTTTTTCATATGCAAACTAATGGGCATGTATGGGGAAAGGTGAGCAGATTTGAATGAATGTGTCATGATGGTAGAGCACCTGTCTTGACAAACACAACCTGACCATTGAGCATCAATATGAGCTAATAAAGTATATGTGGATATTTATGAGTTTCCATGCACTGTTTGTCTCCCTGTGTCTTATGCATATAATAAACAGCTCTTTATTAACTCATTGTCCTTTGATAATGCGCTTTGTTCACAGGACATATGTCATTGCTTTTCTTTGAAAACCACTCTATTGAGTCACAGCATGTCTATTTTTCTTGGGTAAAAAAAAAAACTCATAACCTGCTATATGACACCTGCTTCTGATTTCTATTGATCGGGATGTACAATAAATGCAAAAATGATTCGATTATAAACTATGCTAGTGTGTTGTGGGTAGTTGCCCAGGGCATTGCTTTGCTGTTGCTGAAGTTTTCTGAGATTGCTGATACGCAGTTATAAGGATGTTCTATATCTTTAATGTAAGTCTATGGAATTTGTTCACCTCTTAATGAGATGGTTGCGCCATAGAGCACTGAGGTATTTCCCTGCTAAAAACACCAGGATTGCTGGTCATGTTGTGTTTCGGATGCTGGTGTTCCCAGCAGGCTTCTTAACCAGCAAAGATTTCCTTGCTGATTCAAGTTAAGATCATAAAGGCCATGCTGGTTGATTAGATTATTTAGAGGTAAATAGCAACCACAAGTTAGACCAGCATGAAACCTTCACTAACCAGCATTACTCAGCCTGAACCGACATGGAAATTCATACTTTCAGCGGGGTTGTGACAGTACTATCAAATTATTCAGAGCAGAAACTGAGGCACAGGAGAACTTAAACTGGTGTTTGAATGTGTAAGAGTTTTTACCTCTGCATTTTCAAGCTGAAGAGTCTCCTTAGCCGAACTGGCATGGAAGCCATTGTTTTCTTCTGGAACAGAAAAATTACAAAATAAGGGGTGTTAATAGATATTCACTCGACTTGAGCAAAAATTCTTCCCTTTTCTAGTCGCTTCTTCAAAAAAATGAGCTGTTGTGAAATCAGTGTAAATTCCTTCTGATAAAACTGAGACAATATGAACAGTTCCAACAACGATCACTTTGTCTCACTTTTGGGGATAAAAATTAGGTCTCGATTGTCCGAACTGACATGCTGACTTATCTCATACAATAAAACCTCAAAAATAGTTCTCATCAAATTAACACATAAGGAGCCAGAATTACTAAACAGGGCAAATTAGCGTGAGAGCACAATCCCATAAAAGCATAGATGGGAGTGGAAAGTTCTGTGGCTGATCTAGTGACAATGAGCAAATTAAAGACTTCAGACGCAGCCAGAACATTTCTATAATGACCAACACAATCTGCCAGAAGCAGTGTGCGGTCGCAAACAAGCAGAGCTGATGATCATCAGGTACGGGTAATCTACTAACAACACAAGGCACAAAATGGGTTAAGACATGTTAAATAATGGTGCAAATACCAACTGCAAACCTTAATAAATCACCTTGCATGATTCATTTAAATACTCTCCTCCCATAAATTTTGTGTTTGAAAGGGAAACTCCTACAAATGCATATGCATATATATATATATATATATATGACCATGCACCTATAAGAGTATAGCAGACTAGATACATAAAATGCATATAAACATTAGTTGTCACTCTACGTATATATCTCACATTATGTCTTAGTAAGATATCTAAAAACTTAAGTTTTATGAGCCAAGCTCTGTTTCAAATCATATAATGCAATGCAATACAATGATGACTGAGAGATGTACAAATAAATGTATGGATAAAGTAAACATAATTTGCTGCTGACCATTGAGTGTTTATCTTGAAATATTACTAACAATATATAAGTTATTCTTTTGTTACTTTATGAAAACCAGTTTCAGAGTAAGGGCAGCTAATCATAGCTTTGGCAGAATCATAACAGCGTGTTATCAAACCAGCGATTTCTACACACTTTCAGATGAACAGTCTCTGCTGTTATATAAAGATAACTGTTTATAACTGTGTGTAGCTGTAGTCTACCAATGTAACAGTGGTCTTTCAAACAAGCCATTTAAAATGAAGCTAACGATTATTATTATTTTTGTATTTATTGTTTTTGCATAGCAATAGAGATTACTTCGTTTTGATTGACATTCAGAATTATATTACATCCACAATGACTTACATTGCTTTGGAGGTATAGTATTTTATGTTCTGTGTGAACTGAACCCGTGACCTTTGTTGCTGGCACCATGCTCTATTGTTTGAAAATACATATTTTAGGACAGAGGTCCTCAATCCCGTTTCTAGAGATCTACATTTGAACCAGCTAATAAAGAGCTTTTTTCTTGACCGCTGCCACAAAACGAGACATCTAGATGCAATTTTAGGTACAGGGTGTGAAACTGGAAGTGAGAACGCTTGCTGACACAGGAAACTATGAGCATGAAGCATTCGACACATTTTGTGGTTAGTCATTATATCAAGCGCAAACAAAGAAAAACAAAAAACTTTAATTTCAAAATGGTATTAACATTAGTTACAAAGTTCATTATGGGTCAAGTGGCAGTGAAATAGTGCATGTTAACTAATGTGGAAAGCATAAATGTAGAAAAGATGATAGAGGCCTTTATCAGTTTATCAGGGAACTCCTTTAATGCTGTGCACATCATGCTGGGACAAGAGAAGACAAACTGAAGTCAGCAACATTCAGACAAGTCTGACAAAGACAGTGATATTCACTGATTCATATCTGTAGTCGCATCAATAAATGTGACAAGTCATATTTGGATTCACTATCAATCTTACTATGATGTTTTTACACACACTGGAACTGTTGAAAGCCATTTTCAAGCTACGGTTTAAAATCTGTTTTACACCAGTGTTTTGAAACATAGTGTACTCTATACCAGTGTTTCTCAACCAGGGATCCGTGGACCCCTAGTGGTCCTTGACGTAAGGCGAGGGGGTCCGTATAAAGCATGAATTTTTGTGACATGACATGTTCCCATGAAAGAAAAATCCAATATAGCTGATGATATGGCCAAATACTGGACAAGTCAACTAACTTGAATTATACTTGACTGCATTTGGTCCTCACAAAGACACAAATGATACATAGATGAGTCAATTTTGTTCTGGGGGTCCTTGAGGATGGTTCTGAATTGGACGGGGGTCCGTTACGCCAAAAGGTTGAGATTCACTGCTCTATACCACAGACCAGTTTATGAGAAATGTAGAGTAGATCTGGACTGTTAGTGCAGTAGTCAGAATCTCCCCTAACACTGCAATGAGTTAAAAAGAAAATGCTTTGGCATGCAGAGAGATTATGACAGAGAGAAGGGAAAGTATATGCATATTACACAACTCAAATTTAAATCAGAATTCTTAATTAATGATAATAGCGTCTACAGGGTAACTAGTATATCAATTTCTATATTTTTTGCTGTTTACAAGAAGAACAGTGCTAGGAAAAAAATAATTTAAAGTTCTTCGTCCATATACTGAACTTCACTGAATGTTATGAAATGTAAACTTCTCCTAACGAGCACACATTATTTAGTAAAACATCCAAATACAATAAAATACCTGGTTTAAAGTTTGTTTAAACTTCATTATTATTAAATTCACTAACGTCAAAAAGTTGCAACGTAACATTGGCGCACCGTTTGGACGGAACGGATGCGGTCATTTGTACTCTTCAGGCCATTAACTCTTAAAAGACCATTTGAATAAGAGAAATGACAAACAAACGTGGTAGCTAACTTTTGAACGGAACACAAAACTGAGCTTTTGTGGGTATATGTTTACACATGTAAGGCGTGTTGCAGACACTTACCGCCGCCGGACCAACCAGTTCGGTCCATTTCTATAAGCGTCTCATCACTCGACTTTCCTCGATTCATTTTAATCGAGTGTCCTGATTTATATCAAATGTGTATTTGTTGTAGTTGTAGAATCAACGCGCTTTCTGCCAGGGCTCCGTCCGAGCCCACGCCGTGATCCGAGCTCTGCCCTGCCCCGTTCAGTCCACGCTCAGCGGGTCAGATTTGCCCACTCCGGTTTGTCTTGGGTCTCCGTTGGCTATCCCTACTATGGCTATGAGAATATCTCTTCTATTAATATGTATGACCAAAGGCTTCACTATTGGACGGTTAAATGGAAACGTCAGCATAGACTAATTAATATTAAAGACCTGCTGGTCTTTTGCATGGGAAGGCTGCAAAGCAACGTCGCCGGGGTCTGTTTGAAACTCACGAGCCGACCTTCACTCTCTCTTCTGCGCTCCCTTGCTTTAAAGGGGACGGATGTAAAACGACCGCAATTTTGTCGGCACACTATAAAGGGATGCACATAACTCTTACCCTTCATGTTTTTTTTTATCGTTTTACAAGTTTATGGTCTATATGAAATTCAGTGGAATATTAGCATACATGTCTAAATTCTTAAAAGCTTAAAAGCTGACTACAAAATAACAATACAATACGTGTTATGTAGCTCAGAATTTCTTTCTTTCTTTATTTTATTTTGAACATGATGGCTATTTACTTTAGGTTAATGGTTATGGTTTGGTTTAAGGTTGATCTTAACTAAGGTCCATACTTACTTTTTTTTTATTTACGCTGTGATGGACCTCAGTAGATAATAATATCACGTATCTGTACTGTAAATCTATGTTTTAATTGGCATTAAATTAAATTTGCTGTCTACACTGACCAAAGGTCCATAAGTCAAGTCAAGTCACCTTTATTTATATGTAATACAGATTGTGTCAAAGCAGCTTTACACACATAAGTTCTTAACTAAGTGTGTGTGTGTGTGTGTGTGTGTGTGTGGTTCAGGTATACCCTATGTTATGGGGACAAAATATTCCCACAAACATATCAATATCCAAAATCCTTGTCCTTGCGGGGACATTTTTTGGTCCCCATGAGGAAACAAGCTTATAAATCAAACAGAATGAAGTTTTTGAAAATCTAAAAATGCCGAGAGTTTCCTGAGGGGTAGGTTTAGGTAGGGTTGGGGTAGGGCGATGGAAAATACAGTTTGTACAGTAAAAAAACCATTACGCCTATGGAATGTCCCCATAAAACATGGAAACACAACATGTGTGTGTGTGGGGGGGGTTGTTTTGCTATAGTTGTGAAGATCAAATGTCCCCACAAGGATAGTAAAACTTGACATTTTTGACTTTGTGAGGACATCTGGCCGGTCCTCACAAGGGAAATAAATCATTAAAAAATACTAAATGAAGATTATTTTAAAATGTAAAAATGCAGAAAGGTTTCTGTGAGGGGTAGGTTTAGGGGTAGGGTTAGGGTGAGGGGATAGAAAATATTGTTAGGTCAGTATAAAAACAATAGAAGTCTATGAAAGTCCTCAAGTATAGTAAAACAAACGTGTGTGTGTGTGTGTGTGTGTGTGTGTGTGTTAATACACACTTCGATGGACAAAAATGAGAAGGGAGAAGGACATTTTTGTCTCAAAGGTTCACTTTGAATTTTATCTGGATGTTATTTTGCCTTGATAACGTAGCAGTAAAATTCATGATTATAGCTGATAAGATTGTCTTTTGATACAAAGTTATTTCAACTTTTGTGTGGTATTTGGTAGACACACACATTTGTAAATATGCAATGTTAGTATTATTATTAATTATATATACTTTTAGTTTAAAGTGGTAAATCTCATTAACATCTCAAGTGAATCGTGAGGATCATGTTGTCATAAACAGCAAAGTTCCCTGCAGTCACCAGTGCATGTTCACTTCGCTATCAACAGTGTGGGAGGCTCTTGAAGGAATTAAGTTGTTTGAGATGAGCCGACGATAAGCTTTGCCTTCCTGCCCTTTCAAGGATGGAAAAAGGGAATGGGTTGATAGTCTCTGACAGAACGCTGCTAAACAACAAAAATACAGTTTGCCATTAGGAACGATGCATGTATAACATTCTCTAAAAACTGCTCAGCATTGAATGTTTACATTATAGTGGTTGACCAGTATGGGTTTTTCAATGGCCATTTCTAACAAATACGACAGCAGAAAATGTAGTGTTCATCAACACGGTAGTCATAAGGTTTTGGACACACTATATGACTTTTGTTTATCATCTAAGTGGGTTTTGTTGAAGCCTTTAAGAGTTACATTGTAACTCACACACAAGTAGTTTCTCCATACAAAACAGACAGAAAAAAAAAGCAGCTTCCTAAGAATTCTCCACATCTGTTGGCTTGTTCCAGCCCCATCAGGAGTGTATCTAAAAGAGCCCGTGTAGCCCAATATAGGCTCTTCTGGTCTGGGCCACCCTTCAAGTGGTTACCACAGCCCTTCACTATAGCAATTACACATGCAGTTCTGTCCGGGTGTGGCAGTGGGACTGAAACATAGTTGTCTATTTCCCAAACCTTAACTTCTACAATCTGGGTTTCATCTTTCCACGGCCCTATGTGAAGGTGGCAGACGCATGAGGTGGGAGCTTCCGTTCTGAGGCCTATGGTCTTTAGGGGTGGGACCAAAGTAAAAGGACAAGAGTGGTTTATGTTTAATCATAAGATTATAGAGGAGATTGTGATATATGTAATTTGAGCTCACATAATTGGATAGCTAGTGAAACGTCAAACCAGTAACTTAAATTATAAGGCATTTAGTGAATTGGGGGCCCCGGGCAAAATATAGGATTGGGGCCTATTTGCCCACATTTACCTAGATCAACCTAGAGGTTCCTTTTGTTGTTGTTGTGATGCTTGCTGCTGCACAATGGTGCCCCATAGTTGTGTCCAATGTTTCTACATTTTTCATGTACTGTACTTGTTATAATGGCTTTCTTTTATGTTGCACACCACGAAATAGCAATAGATTTGCAGTTGAGATAAGGTTTTCACAAAAACACAATAAATTCTAAAATGATAAACCTCACAATTGATCCTTTAAAACTTTTTTTTAAAGAAAAGGGATGAGTCAGAAGTATAAATTGTTATATTAATTTAAAACGGGGTTATGTGGTGGATTTTCGCATTGGTCTGAACAAAAATTGCAGACGGGATTATTGAAAATGAACATTCATTCTCTGCCAGCGGTTTCCCCGGTAACGGCTGTATAAACAAAGCAGCGCTGCGCTCATAAACGCTGCTTTATCAGATAAAATGAAAACCCATCGAAACTTTTCTGAAGACATTCGGTTCTCTTCAGAGATTCATTCATATAACACTTGAATTAGTGAGAATGAGACAATTGTGAAAAAATATAGCTGATATTGACGAGGAAAGTTAACTGATGAGTTATCAACGTAAGCCTTTAAGTGCCTGGGCTCATACACTCTCCAAAGAAACTCCTTTAAATGTTCTCATCACAGAAACGCCTCTAAATGCCCAACATAACTGAACATTAAACACTAACATGTTTTTTCTTTACTGAAAAACACTTACAGTAAAAAAAATAAAATAAATAATAATAATAATAAACCCCTTACTCTTACCTAATGCAGTCCCCTGCGAAGCAACTACAGACTGCCCAAAAAGTTATGTCAACAAATGATTAATGTAGGTTTAATACAAATTAATTAAGTAAACCTCAATTGTAAAAAAAAAAAAAAAAAAAAAGTAGAGTGTACGCTATAAATTTAATAAAATTAAGCTGGTGCAAAATGTTCACAAATCATACTTCAGCTTGATTAAACTGAACAAAAAGACAAAAAAAATAGTTTTTTGAGTGTAGAAATGGTGTATAAAGCATGTAAGGATGTAAATAATTGTGCATGTGTATATCCTTGGCCTTTCATCCTTGATAAAATAAATAAACAAAACAAGTAATCAATCACAAACAAACAAATAATTCCTAATATGTAAAATTCATGAAAATGTAACATAATTCATTACTGTGTAATGCAAGGGGAAGTATCAAGGTGGTTTCTGTTATAGTGATGTGCATTTCAAAAATGTTTCAATACAGCAGGTGACAAACAAACAAACACAATAAATAAATAAGTAAATAAATAAAGCAAGCAAGCAAACAAACAAACATAAATGAATGAATAAACACACACACACACACAGGTTTGTTTTTGTGAAAAGTGGGGACATCCCATAGGCGTAATGGTTTTTATACTGTACAGACCGTATATTCTATTGCCCTACACCAACCCTACCCCTAAACCTACCCCTCACAGGAAACTTTGTGCTATTTCAGATTTTCAATACACTCCATTCTGTGTGATTTATAAGCGTTTTGAAAAGTGGGGACATGGGGTAATGTCCTGAAAAGTCACCTTCTCCTTGTAATACCTGTCATACCTTTGCCATTATACAAATTTATGTCCTTTTTTGTCTACATACGTTGCCTATTTGTCACAAAAACGCGCGCGCGTGCGCGCACACACACACACACACACACACACACACACACGCACACATATATAAAGTGAACTTTTTGTATAACCTCGAGGCTCAAGTTTCCTGCACAGCTCCTGCAGTGGCTGCACAACCTTTTTATTGAGCTCGTGCTTCCACCTATCGGCGAAACTGCATGCAGCTTTAAAACGGAGCGTGGGTTACTCACTTGTGGTTTTGATTTACAGTAAACTGATAAATCTGTTAGTTATGGCCACAAGATGAACATGTTTCCTTTCATTCTTATAGTAAATCAACTGAATTTTCTAAATACAAAGTGAGTGTATAATATTTTCAACGATTATATATTATATTGCTATTATATTCCTAGTATTCATGCATTTAAGATGCAATTAGATTTTTTTAGTGACCTGCTTAATTGTTGTTTTATTCTAAAAGACAAAAGGGGGCCATATTAGACGTATCTGTTTGTGTTATTGTGCTCTAATGAAGAAGTTGTTTGTGTTATTGTGCTCTTATGACGAGTTTTGTCATCAGACGTAAGAGCGCCTTTTATGACATCACGAGTAATCCGGCGACATTCCACAGCGTCAGCGTCAAGAGAAGCCAGCGATAGCTGTTCAGTTCCTCGTCGCAGCACGGAAGGCTTCAGATGTTTGGGCTTCAGATGAATGGACCCTCTGGCTTGTAATGGCGAGTGATGAAAGATTCATCTAAACTGACAAGTGGCTGCGCTCTCGTGTGAAACCGGCGCAGCTGTCACACACCTGGACTGAAGCCCTGCAGGTCTGAAGAGGATGACGCG